GGCAGCACAAAGGCAGCCTAATCTACCATGCCCACCCCCTCCATCCCGCCATGATGCCACATCAAGACCACTGATTTGACCGCTTTTCGGTCGGCGGCTGAGTTTGGATGTCATTGGGGACGGCGGGGGGTTGGAGGGGGTTGGAGGGGCTGGCAGGCCGGCGGGTGACTTGCCGGGGTTCGGTCGCCATGGGTCCGGTTCCGTTGGTNAGACTGTTTTCTTGACAGCAATTTCAATTTGGTGTTACACGATGTTTGCCGGCGGTCACCTTGTGTTGCGCGACACTGCAGGGGCTTGTGCTTTGCACGACACTGCAGGGGCTTGAGCTCGGGTGACAGGACAACACAGNCAAAGGGCGAGGGTGCACATTGCGTGCTTGTGCGTGCACAAGGGACACTTCGGCGACGGTGAGGCAACAAAGCCGCAACGTTGGTGCGTGTTGGTGAGGGTGGCCGGCGGGCTGGTGGCTGCCTGGAAGGTGCATGAAGGTGCAGATGAGTCAGCGGACAGAGTGGCAGTGGTTCATCAGCGCACGATTGGCGCGCGTAAGACTATTTATTGGTGACACGCACGGCTGCCTCTCCGCCATAGTAGACTGTTGCACGCGAGCAGCATTTGCTCCAGACGGATCGAGGCGGCTACCGGCATTGTTGAGTGTAACGCAGGTTTGTCTACCAAGTAATCGGCGTTTTCGCGGAGCACTTCTCGCGCCTGTTTCAGGTGTGTGGGCTAGCTGCTGGTGATCTGCTTGTGCACGTGTCGGTGTCGTGCGCCTGGCCCCGTGGCCGCCCGCACCAATCAACTCGCGCCGGGCTATGGATCCACCCTAGCATGCTCTGACACGGCCCATCGCAACTTCTCAGCGCGGGCTCTGATTCGCCCCGCCGGACGTGCAGGTCGTGCTGGCAGCGCGCCATCGCCCGTGAAGGAGACTATCACAATGGCTCGCTACATTTGGGTCGTATTGGCACTCCTTGCTTGTGGTCTCGTGGCAGACAGTGCCCCTGTCAAGAGTGCTACTGTCAGGATCTATTCGCCTGTCAAGAGTGCTACCGTCAGGATACATTCGCCAACCATCAATGGCTGGTGAGCACGGCCCAAGCTGTCTGTGCTGTTGTAATTGTTGTAGCTACACTGTGGGAGACGCAGCGGGAACGGTCTCCTATATTGGGGCCAGGGGCAAGGCCTCTGCCCTCCAAGTCCCGGCTCGAAAGAGAGTGTAGTAAGCCCCTTGCACAAGCGTGTGCTGATCCCAACCATTGCCCTCTTCGCTCTTGCAGGGCCGTGGATGCAGGGGTGAGGGGGGCCCAGAACGCGGCCTCCTTGGAGCTTGGACCTGTAGAGGCAGCGCATGCCTTCTGCCGTTATCTGGGCCTGTCCCATCCTTACTCAGTGCTCGAGGCACAGCGACATTCGTACAGCATCAACTGCCGTGGCGTGGGAAGCGACGGGGGCACAGCGAGGTTCGACGCCAAGACTGGCAAATGGGAGTTTTGCGCTGGGTGCCACACGTGCTTGGCCCATGTTGACTGCAAGGTTGATAGGCCATCAATCTCGTAGTGGCTTGGCTTGAACCTTGACAGCACCATCCCGCCACGGCCCTACCTGCTCATGCCCGCATGCGCGCCCTTGTGCGCAGTGCGGACCAGTACACACTTGAGGCCTTTGCGCATGCCTGCTTTTTCAACGGTGAATAGTGGCACCTTGAGTTCGTGCCTCACAATGCGGATGCTACCGAGTCATATCCCATGACCGTGGATGGCTCCAAGAGCGGGCGACCGCGGGGTCTTGTAAAAATCATAATCCCGATCCTTCATCAGGTTCACTCAGCCGGACGCGTCTACAAACACCACAACCAACGCCC